GGGTGGTATGACGCCTCAGCTAATCTTTAGCAAGATCCAGGAGGGGAAGTTGTGTATGGCATTGCTCGAAAAGGCCTTTGCCAAACTCTACGGTCGCGAGGATTTGCAGTAATCATTTTTTCTACTTTGCGATGTTCAGCGAAATTCCTTTATTGGCAATAGAAAATCCACCATTTATATATATATATATACCGCCGGACTGAAAGTTAGAATGCCCATTTGGTGGCGGCAAGTGGATTTAGATATCCATTTCCGCGTACCGCGTGAGAAATTTGGGAGGCATTCTAACCCTATTTATTTAGTCCTGAAACCCCTAAACAAATCCGGGACGGCATTCTAACCCTATTTATGTAGTCCTGAAGACCCCAAAACTCCAAAATATCGAATTTTCGACCGTCCCGTGTCTTCCATGTACTACAAATATGCAGAATATGCATGAAATCTACCCAACAATACAATGAAAAATAATGAAAAACATCTTTAAAACATTGAAAAGTCAATGAAAAATGATGAAAAACATGTAAACACATTGAACAATCAATGAAAAATAATTAAACACATCTTGAAAATAATGAAGAATCATTGAAAAATAATGAACAACATCTTCAAAATAATGAAACATCAATGAAAACCATCTTTAAAATAAAAAACATTGAGCAATAATGAAAAACATCTTCGAAATACTGAAAAATCACTGAATGCCGTCCCGGATTTTTTAAAATGGGTTTCGGGACTAAATAAACAAGGTTAGAATGCCTCCCGGATTTCTCACGCGGTACACGTTTTTTTTTTGAAATCCATGTCTTTCCACCAAAGTGACATTATAACTTTCAGTTGTACCATATAATTGGAAAAAACAATGAAAAATAATGAAGCACATCGTCAAAATAACGAAAACACAATGAAAAATAATGGATCTACCCATGATCAATTAAAAAATGTCACAATATGCAGAAAAAATGCAATATCGTCATCCGCCGATCCAAGAACACCTCGTTTACTCACATCTGATATGTATGTACATGGTTGTAATTGTACATACATACAGCGCATATATGTGTGCATAATGCCGTTTTTGGAGGTTACCATACTGTTTAATCAACATTTCATTATCGTGGAGAATACCGTGGGAAAATCTCCGACGGGCATTCTAACCCTATTTATTTAGTCCTGAAACCCCTAAAACTCCAATTTTTTTGACGAATTTTTGACTGTCCCGTGTCTTCCATGTATATGGTACTGCAAATATGTAGAATACGCATGTAAATTGCCAAAAAAAACTACCCAAAACATGATGAAAAATAATGAAACAAATTCAAAAACACTAAAAAATCAATGAAAAACATGTAATTAACAACATTGAAAAATCAACGAAAAATAATGAAACACATCTTGAAAATAATGAAAAATCATTGAAAAATAATGAACTAACATCCTCAAAATAATTAGAATCAATGAACACCATCTTCAAAATAAAAAACACTGAACAATAATGAACAACATCTTCAAAATACTGAAAGATCACCGAATGCCGTGCCGGATTTTTTAAGGGGGTTCAGGACTAAATAAATAAGGTTAGAATGCCTCCCGGATTTCTCATGCGGTACACGGGCTTTTTCTTGAAATCCATGTCTTTCCACCAGGGTGGCAATATAACTTTCGGTTGTACCATATAATTAGGAAAAAAACAATGAAAAATAATGAAACACATCGTCAAAATAACGAAAAAACAATGAAAAATAATGGATCTACCCATGATCAATAAAAAATGTCACAATATGCAGAAAAAATGCAATATCGTCATCCGCCGATCCAAGAACACCTCGTTTACTCACATCTGATATGTATGTACATGATTGTAAATGTACATACGTACAGCGCATATATGTGTGTACAAGGCCGTTTTCGGAGGTTACCATCCTGTTTAATCAACATTTCATTATCGTGGGGAATACCGTGGGAAAATCCGCGACGGGCATTCTAAGCCTATTTATTTAGTCCTGAAACCCCTAAAACTCCAAAATGTTTGACGCATTTTTCGACCGTTCCGTGTCTTCCATGCATATGGTACTGCAAATATGCAGAATATGCATGTAAATTGCAAACAAATCTTTCCATGAACAATAAACAATGTCATAATATGCAGAACAAATGCAATATCGTATTATAAATGTGTAGAATATGCAGGTATTCGCCAAAAAAACATGCTCATGATCAGCAAAAAAAATATATGACCACTAAAATTGACAGAATATGCAGAAAACAGGCAATATCGTCATCTGCCGATCCAAGAACGCCTCGTTTACTCACATCTGATATGTATGTGCATGATTGTAAATGTACATATATGTAGTATATACAGCGCATATATATATATATATATGTGTGTGTAATGCTGTTTTCAGAGATTACCATCCTGTTTAATCAAAATTTCATTGTCGTGGGGAATATCGTGGGAAAATCTCGACGGGCATTCTAACCATATTTATTTAGTCCTGAAACCCCTTAAAAAAATCCGGGACGGCATTCTATCCCTATTTATTGAGTCCTGAAACCCCTAAAACTCCAAAATTCTTGACGCATTTTCGACCGTCCCGTGCCTTCCATGTACTGCAAATATGCAGAATTTGCATGTAAATTGCGACCAAACCTTTCCATGGACAATAAACAATGTCATAATATGCAGAAAACATGCAATATCGTACAATCATGTATAATCAATATGTAGAATATGCAGGTATTCGCCAAGATAACATGCTCCTGATCAGCACAAAAAAATAACCACTAAAATTGACAGAATATGCAGAGAAAATGCAATATCGTCATCGGCCGATCCAAGACACCTCGTTTACTCACATCTAATATGTATGTACATGTACATATATGTAATATATAGAGCGCATATGTATATCTGTGTATGATGCCGTTTTCGGAGGTTACCATCCTGCTTAATCAACATGTCATTATCGTGGGGAATACCGTGGGAAAATCCCCGACGGGCATTCTAACCCTATTTATTTAGTCCTGAAACCCCTAAAACTCCAAAATTGTTGACGCATTTTCGACCGTCCCGTGTCTTCCTTGTACTGCAGATATGCAGAATATGCATGTAATTTGCAAACAAATCTACCCATGAACAATAAACAATGTAAACATTTGCAGAAAACATGCAACATCGTATTGTAAATTGTAAATTTAAATATGTAGAATATGCATGAATATGCAGGTATTTGCCCAAAAAATATTGCTCATGATCAGTAAAAAAAGTACATGATCAATCAAAAATGACAGAATATTGAAAAATGCCATATCGTTTGTGTGTAATGCCGTTTTTGGAGGTTACCATCCTGTTTAATCAACATGTCATTATCGTGGGGAATACCGTGGGAAAATCCCCGACGGGCATTCTAACCTTATTTATTTAGTCCTGAAACCCCTAAAACTCCAAAATTATTGACGCATTTTCGACCGTCCCGTGTCTTCCTTGTACTGCAAATATGCAGCATATGCATGTAAATTGCAAACAAATCTTTCCATGAACAATAAACAATGTAAACATTTGCAGAAAACATGCAACATCGTATTGTAAATTGTAAATTTAAATGTGCAGAATATACAGGTATTTGCCCCAAAAAAATTGCTCATATCAGAAAAAGAACATGATCAACAAAAAATGACAGAATATTACAAAAATGCAACATCGTCTGTGTATAATGCCGTTTTTGGAGGTTACCATCCTGTTTAATGAGCATTTCATTATCGTGGGGAATACCGTGGGAAAATCCCCGACGCGCATTCTAACCCTATTTATTTAGTCCTGAAACCCCTAAAACTCCAAAAATCTTGACGCATTTTCGACCGTCCCGTGTCTTCCATGTACTGCAAATATGCAGAATACGCACGTAAATTGCAAACAAATCTTTTCATGAACAATAAACAATGTCATGATATGCAGAAAACATGCAACATCGTATTGTAAATTGTAAATTTAAATTTGCAGTTTTTGCAGGTATTTGCCAAAAAACAACATGTTCATGATCAGCAAAAAAAACATCAATAAAAATTGACAGAGTATGCAGAAAAAATGCAATATCGTCATCCGCCGATCCAAGAACACCTCGTTTACTTACATCTAACATGTATGTACATGTACATTTATGTAATATTTACAGCGCATATATATGTGTGTATAATGCCGTTACCATCCTGTTTAATCAACATTTCATTATCGTGGGGAATACCGTGGGAAAATCCCCGACGGGCATTCTAACCCTATTTATTTGTTTAGTCCTGAAACCCCTAAAACTCCAAAATGTTTGACGCATTTTTCGACCGTCCCGTGTCTTCCTGTACTGCAAATATGCAAATATGCATGTAAATTGCAAACAAATCTTTCCATGAACAATAAACAATGTAAACATTTGCAGAAAACATGCAACATCGTATTGTAAATTGTAAGTTTAAATGTGCAGAATATACAGGTATTTGCCCCAAAAAACTTGCTCATATCAGAAAAAGAACATGATCAACAAAAAATGACGGAATATTACAAAAATGCAACATCGTCTGTGTATAATACCGTTTTTGGAGGTTACCATCCTGTTTAATCAACATGTCATTATCGTGGGGAATACTGTGGGAAAATCCCCGACGGGCATTCTGCATTCTATAACCTTATTTATTTAGTCCTGAAACCCCCTAAAACTCCAAAATTTTTGATGCATTTTCGACCGTCCCGTGTCTTCCATGTACTGCAAATATGCAGAATATGCATGTAAATTTCAAAAGAATCTACCCATGACCAATAAAACATGTGATAGTAAGCAGAAAAAATGCAACATCGTATTGTTATTTACAATATGCAGAATAAACAGGTATTTGCCCAAAAAAACTTGCTCATGATCAATCAAAAAAAACACACTATGCAGAAAAAATGCAATATCGTCATCCGCCGATCCAAGAACACCTCGTTTACTCACATCTAATATCATCCAATTAATATGTATGTACATGTATACATATTATGTAATATTTACAGCGCATATATATGTGTGTGTATAATGCCGTTTTCGGAGGTTACCATCCTGTGCATTTCAGGATGGTGGAGAATACCGTGGGAAAATCCCCGACGGGCATTCTAACCCTATTTATTTAGTCCTGAACCGTCTAAAACTCCAAAATTCTTGACGAAATTTTCGACCGTCCTGTGTCTTCCATGTACTGCAAATATGCAGAATATGCATGTAAATTCCAAACAAATCTACCCATGAGCAATAAAACATGTCATAATATGCAGAAAAATGCAACATCGTATTGTAAATTGTAAATTTAAATGTGCAGAATATACAGGTATTTGCCCCAAAAAAATGCTCATGATCAGCAAAAAAGACATGATCAATAAAACATTACAGAATATTGGACAAATGCAATAACGAATGCCGTTTTTTGGAGGTTACCATTCCGTTTAATCAACATTTACATTGTCGTAGGGAATACCGTGGGAAAATCCCCGACGGGCATTCTAACCCTAGGTATTTAGTCCTGAAACCCCTAAAACTCCAATTTTTTTGACGCATTTTCGACCGTCCCGTGTCTTCCATGTACTGCAAATATGCAGAATATGCATGTAAATTGCAAAACCAAATCTACCCATGACCAATAAAACATATCATAATATGCAGAAAAGATGCAACATCGTATTGTAAATATAAATATGCAGAATTTGCAGGTATTTTCCCAAAAAAACATGTTCATGATCAGCAAAAAAAAGATCAATAAAAAATTGCATATGCAGAAAAAATGCAATATCGTCATCCGCCGATCCAAGAACACGTCGTTTGCTCACATCTAGATTTCATTTATCTATTTAAAACCTATATAGAATTCATAAGTTTTAGGGGCATATGCTGCGGAGGCATTCTAACCTACAAAAAACAAGGTTTGGTGGCCCCGGCAAACCAAGCTTTTGGACGGTTTTCGACTACGGTATTTTACGGGTTTTTATGGGTTTTGATGAGTTTTTACAGGTTTTCGACGGTTTTTCTACGGGTTGTGGCGAAGCTGCTTCATCAAAAACCTGGTTTTGTTGGCTAAAACCTGTTTTTTTCGCAGAAACTAGCTCAAAACCAGGTGTTGATACCTCGACCCGCTTTTTTCAGGGATTTGGTTGATGTAGGATATATGATGATGATATCAAACTTTGGTAAGTATTTATCTCAACCGTCATTGGGGACCAAGATTTCATTTATCTATATAAAACCTAGATAGAATTCAGAAGTTTTGGGGGCATATGCTGCGGAGGCATTCTAACCCTACAAGAAAGCAGGTTTGGTGGCCCCGGCAAACCAAGCTTTTGGTCGGTTTTAGACTACGGTATTTTACGGTTTTTTGTTGGTTTTGATGAATTTGTACAGGTTTTCGACGGTTTTTCTAGGGGTTGTGGCGAAGTTGCTTCATCAAAAACCTGGTTTTGTTGGCTAAAACCTGTTTTTTTTCGCAGAAACTGGCTCAAAACCAGGTGTTGATACCTCGACCCGCTTTTTTCAGGGATTTGGTTGATGTAGGATATATGATGATGATATCAAACTTTGGTAAGTATTTATCTCAACCGTCATTGGGGACCAAGATTTCATTTATCTATATAAAATCTAGATAGAATTCAGAAGTTTTGGGGGCATATGCTGCGGAGGCATTCTAACCCTACAAAAAACAAGGTTTGGTGGCCCCGGCAAACCAAGCTTTTGGTCGGTTTTAGACTACGGTATTTTACGGTTTTTTGTTGGTTTTGATGAATTTTTACAGGTTTTCGACGGTTTTTCTACGGGTTGTGGCGAAGTTGCTTCATCAAAAACCTGGTTTTGTTGGCTAAAACCTGTTTTTTTCGCAGAAACTAGCTCAAAACCAGGTTTTGATACCTCGGCCCGTTTTTTTCAGGGATTTGGTTGATGTAGGATATAAATATAAGTATATAGATATAAATATAAATATAAATATATATATAATATATATATATATTATATAAGAATTCAAAAATCTATATATAGAATTCAGATGTTTTGGAGGCATATGCTGCGGAGGCATTCTAACCCTACAAAAAGAGAAAGGTTTGGTGGCCCCGGCACAACAGGTAGGCAAGTTTGATCAAACAATTTTTTAACATTTTTATCCACATTTACCAGCATAATACGGACTGAAAGGTAGAATTTTAGTAGAATTTTTAAGACAATTTTCGGGGGGGGCATTCTAACTTTCAATGGATTTTTTTTGGTGGCAGGTGGGTCATTCTAACTTTCAGTCCGGCGGTATATATATAATTATCTTAAATGATGGATGATTTTCCTATATAATTATTAAACCCTGCCATTTTGACGTGTTTTTTTCCCTTTATGCCACGGTAGGTAGCTACTCTGCTCTGACTGCTGGCTTCCAACCAGTGGCCTGGCATCATCTCACCGGCTGCGACGAGTTCTTCCGCTACAAATCCAGCTACAAAGTGGCCGTGCGCTGGGTGGTGGACACGGAGGGCCTGCCGGTCTACTCAGACGCTAATGATTTAATGCGAATGTGTAAAAAAGTAAGCTGGAAAGGAATGGAAAGAAACAATCTCCAAAGAGATTGGGATACCTTGGTTCTATGTGTGTATGATATCTACTGGTACATGTGAATACATTTGACATCAAGTGATATTCTATGGATTTGCAAGATTTGAAGCATTGAGAAGTTTTCAAGCGCACATTGATGAGGAGCTTATGGTCCGCTGGACTATCTGCTGAGACTAGTTGGTTTGGATCTTTGGGGTACCCGAAAATGTATCTCCTCAGTATCATCCATTTTCGGTCCCAAGTTGTCTTATTGTTGTTGTTTTAACAGATTGTTGACACCAAAATCTGATGCAATTCTTGACTTTGCCTAGCTTTAACGGATGTGAACGGTTGATAAAACATGATTAAAACAAAAAAAAATCGCGGTGCTGAGGACAAAAAGCGGAGCAAAAAGTTGGGCATCTTGGCGCCAGGTTCCCTCTTCCACGAGAAGCAGCGCATTGGAGCATGGATCCAGTGACCCGCTGTGGAGATTGTGGGGATGGTTGGCCATGGTTGCTTGGGGGATCTTAACTATTCTTAACGCGCAGAAGTCTAGAGTTGATAGCTTAAAGATTGTAGTAACACCCACAGATAGAAAATAATCACTGGTTTAATGGGATTTGGCTTTTCTATCTCTCTCCGGGTTGCTACCTGTAGTGATTCACGAGATGTAGTTCCTTGATGTTCCTTGTGAACGGAACATAAATTGTTCATCTTGGGATGACAGTGACAGTTTCATGGCACTAGGCAGATCCCTTTTCGGCGGCGGCTCGCTGTTGAAGGTTCAAGCACTCGCTATGTCTTTACTGGTCTGAATGTAGCGTCCAGACTCACAACGGAGTGGTGGTTTCAAGCTCTGTTTTGAAGGTCGCTCATATTGGGGATGATCCCGAATGACATATTTTTCCTCAGAAGGTTGAAACCAGCAAGCTGCCAATTGATGGGTGGCGTCCCTTGAAATCGTCTTACATTATCTTAAATCATCTTAATTCTATGTACATGTTGATTGGTTAAAATACTTCTTGAAACACTTCTAGTAATTACTCACCATCTTTGGTGGTTTGAATTTACCAAATCTGGCACCACGAAGTCGTGAAGCTTCGCTGAGCAGCCCAAGGTTCAAGAAAGCCTCCGGAACAGGTCCTGAGGAGCCATCCTCATCATATAGTTATGTTTTCTTGAGGAAAGATATGAAAAGCGTAATCGACCATAATTAAGCGAAGTCTCTGCATCATATCGTGATGATATACTACATATAGTGATGAAGAAACCACGTGATGAAACTGTGAGACTATTGATAGCCAGATGCTAACCGTTTTTGGTATCTGAATTGTTGCAATCTGCCCATATCTTGGTGTGGGTCCACCATACACTCCCTGCAACATCGGCTGAGAGGTTTGTCATGTAAATAGATTTCAAGATGATGGTAGATCGTCTGATCATGGCAGGTTTGGGATCTACAAATACTTAACCATGCCAAAGCACAAGACAATGACATGAAGTAAGGATCAAACATAGTTTCAAGTGTGAGTATAGGATCAGATTTCAACAAAGGGCCCGATTCCTTCCAGAGCGAAATAGAATCAGCATACATTTGTTTTTCAGAAAGTAAGTCCAGTGTTTAGTTGGAGAAACAGATAGAGAGAAATGAGAATATACTCTTTGGTTGAGAGAAATAGTCTATGGCTTTTCACAGAGAGAAAGAGAGGCAGTCCAGTTGATGCCAGTTGACTTGGGCTAGCCCAGTGATTCCTGGTACCCATCATGCCATAAGTGAGTGTGGGTAAAGTAAAACTATAACCATGGAAATAACCACCATGAATAGGCTATGCCTATAATATATATATATATATATTATATGCAGAGTCTCTTTAACATATGGTTACACATATATACTTCAAACTGCTTCCAGTGCACCCTGTGGTTTTTCCTTGGCGCTTTTTAGGAGGGGTGGCTCTCCTATTACAGCAACGGCCGGCGCGTCGCCAAGCGCAATCTGGAGGATGGCGCTCTGAGATTCACGGAACTGCGCGTGAAAATTGACCCCCATCAGGCCATGGCATCATGGGTCCGGCGATCAGGCCATGGGTTGGTGGTTTCAAACATGGCTGTTATTTTCCATTGACTATAATAGTTGTTAATAATATGGGATAATCATAATATATATTAGATCACTAATATCTTTATTATCCCAGATATTTTCCATAATATATTTGAAACCACCAACCATATCCTCAGGCATGCATCCCAGGCATCGAAGTGGTGAACGATATATATATATATATATCATAATATATGGGATAATCCTTCCATTGACCAATATCTTTCAAGATAGTGATTGCACCACCAACCAGATATAGAATGAAGATTGACTTAGCATATAGCTAGCGTCTCAATTTCCAAGTTGATGGTCATTTGCGCAAGTCGGTTTTGCGGCATTGGTTTGAAGGGGTTACAATCACTAAGCTTTTCCCCGCCTCAACTGGATACCCGCTCTCTCCATGGAAAATTGGCCACGGCCCTTCACTTCAAAGCTGGACTTTTGATAGATGGCATGGCGCACAGGCACATACAGTAATATATGTACAGAATCGTACACATATTGTCGTCATATTTTCCTACAGGCATATATTTATATAACATATACATATAGTCATATAATATAATTTACAGTAATGTCATGTATGTACATACATTCTGCATATGTGTGTATATATATATAGTATACATATATGCACACATACAGATGTTGATATGTATGTTGGTATCTGAACGTTTTTTTCGCATCTGCGCATCTCCCCCTTCACCGGCACGCAGGTCATGGAAGCAGTTAAAGGAGATATCGGAAAGGAAGGAAAAGGGAGCGACAAGGTCTTCAAATACTATTTCAACAAGTGTCTTAGTTGAACCTATGACCTATTTTTTTTAACCTCTTCAGTTGATTTTCTGATAATTGATGCTTTAAACTTCAACTTGAGTGATTTAGTTGAATATTATTTCATGGCTTCCATGGACTGCTTTTCTGTAGTTTTTTTCCCCAGAAATCAATCCAGTCATGATTAAAAGTGTGCCCTTTATCAGCTACTCCACTTCTAACTTGGTCACTCACTTTACTGCACAACCAACTTCCATGTCGGACACCCGAGTTGTTTGTATTTTGGAGACCTGAATCTGAAACTTTCATCATCCGCTGCTCTCGAAAGTGAAAAGGACGGCACGTTCATGTAAGATTTGCCTGGCATATACACCGTTTTGGTCCAACTATCCCTTTGGTGACCGGCAAAAACACTGCCTTGTCTTGGCCCCGAGGTTCCTCTATCCGGAGGAGTTCTGGAAACAAATCGTGGAGTACGACAAGGGGAATTATCTCATGGCATCTAGCGCCACGCGTTGCAAACGTGACTTCGAATGTGAAATTCGCGACGGTTCCGCCGTTTTCTTGTTTACAATGGTGGTTTAAGCACCAAATAGAATATTGTCAGCATTCGCATGCATTAGCTGGTGTCGTTGTCTTTGATGTTGCGTTCCATGTCCCAAAGATATGCCGAAAATTATGGTTTAATCCATAGGACATAGGAGTGCTGGGAAATACCACAGTTTCATCCAACCAGTCCAAGAAAATGCTGTCACTCTTACGCCCAAGTTATGGTCAGTTTTCGATTACCTTGAGGCTTTGAACGGCAATATGGTTGAATCCGTTGGGGGTACCTGTATTTGTTTAAAGCAATTCAAGTTGGTTATCCAAGTTCTAATCTCTTTTAATCCATGTTTCTCAAATTTGCCAATTGTTCAACCCACTTTCGGGCGCCCAACTGGGGCCGATGCACAAGGTGAAGTGGATTGCGGCATGGTCCACGGTCACGCCTACAGCCTGCTGCACGCCGTAGAGGTGGACGGCGTGCGGCTCATCGCCTGCCGCAACCCCTGGGGCAGCGACTCGGAGTGGAACGGACCCTGGAGCGATCGCAGTGAAGAGTGGAAGGCCAACCCGACCATTGCGATGCTTGGAGAAATGTCGGACCCACGATCCAATTCATCCAATTTTACCATAAATAGTCAGCAATAGGATCTATATAGGATCCACCATCCCCCCCATTTTACCATACATATCCATAATTGGAGTAGTATCCCATAGGATAGTAATGTGAGTCAGTAAAGCACATTTTCGGATCCACTATTTTATCCCATTTTACCATATAGATATACATGAGTAAAGCTTCAATAGGATCCACCATCCAATTTTAGCATACATATCCATAAATGGATATAGTTGGGTTGCGGGTTATGACATTGCTTAAAAAAACACATTAAACTTAGAAGTCATAGCTGGGTAGCTGGTGGGTTTGAGAATATGATATTAGTTATATACTTGTATGTAATAGTTAGTTTCATATGATGTATACATAGTAGATATTGATGTTAAATGTTAGAGTGTTAGTTAAATTGTGTACACTTCAAAACTGAATATATAATGAGATACCATTGGACTGTTAAAAATTTTATTCTGTGATCATTTGAGTAATAGCAACATCTGACTGGAGGAACTGGTTGGTTTTATGTTCCATTAAACATATGTATATTTTAAATAACTTACTGTGAATCAAGTAAATAACAAATTGTTACCTGTTTGAAACACATGTGATTCAATTAAATAGCATCAGATTAAGATGTGTTTACTTGACGCCTTGAAGTCCTGGTCAATTTCCATCCGCTAGATATTTCTGCTATAATGCCCAAAGTCTTCCTATGGTCATGACATTGCCCCCGTTTCTTGGTGGATATAATTTCCCAGGAAAGCTTTGAAGGTCGATTTCCAGACGGAAGGCGGGAGTTCGATTTGTTTTTTCTCGGCCTGTTTCAACCCCACTTGGTGGTTCACTCACTTTGTAAGTACGTTACAACATGTTATAACTATAACCCCAATTATAGGTGGAATTTAATCCTACTTAGCCCACGTTTTTCAGGGTTTCAACCCGCTTCGTTGCTCGTGCTTGCAACGGCAGGCACTTTCTGGATGGATTGGGAGGACTGGCAGTTCATCATGGGTCAGAAACTTGGCGCATCCCAGGTCTTGGTCTTGATGAACCATGGAAGCGAGTTGGTGCGGAAATTTACCGACATGAAACAAACATGTATAACCATGCATATATATATATACATACGTATAACATCGGGAAACTATATATATATATACATAATAATCATAATTACACTTAATTTAAATAATGTATATACATATAATATATATATATTGAACACTAGTCACTAGTGGTTTCCCAAGGAAATAATTACACAAATGATTGGTTTTCTTGCAAGATTACTGTTATGAAATCCAATCTAGCCACAGCCCCCGTGGGCAAAAATGTATGTCAGGTAGCTCAAAATGTATGTTTGAAAATGTATGTGAAAACCAGGCCTGGGACAGGTATATAGATGATGTGTATGCCTCCTGGTATGTTGGTTGAAGGGTGTGAACCACATACTACCCACCATTGCCACTGTCCAGCGGAACTGGAACTGCCTCTCTGACTGGCTCTCTGGCTGGAAGTCATAAGATTACTGTAGGGTATCAAGATGAATCACCTGAAGATCGGGCCCAGGAACGGAATCCCATGGATAGCTGTTTTCATGACCACATTCGTTGCCAAACGAAACGAGTTCTCTTGTTATGTTTCATGGTTCAACCGTATTAGTTGATGCTAATATATGCTTTCATGATCTTTTATGTCCCATTCCCTTCTTTCTGCCAAGGGTGAATGTCATGAACTACCAAATGCCTTCCACACGCGGTGACTTCTACAAGCAGCTGGAAGATGGAGGGCCGGATGCCCCAGAGGATCAAGACGATCCGGAGCCTGCAATTGTCGATACGGATCTGATCCATGACCATGATGAGGACGGGTGACATTGTAGGGGTTGCCGGGCAGGTGAGGCAGGTGGGTCCCTTTTTGGCAGGCAGTTGGTTTGTAAAACCATCCAACAGTATATATATATATATATATACATATATATATTGTCAGCACCAGGTTATCTGGCTAGGTTCTGTTTGGCTGAAGATGAACAAATGTCCTGCGGCAGAACCTTCGCTGCTGTGATGAGCCATGACCCTGAGTGATTTTTCTAGCTCACAGGGTATCACCCATGGCCCTGTAACCAATCAGGGTTCAGCTTTCAACTGCCCCCGGGTAAATCAAGCATGGCAATAGAACATCATCATTGCCAAATGCAACACAATCTCCTGCATACAGTGGCTTTTCGAGCTGGGCAGATGTGATCAGTCCAATCTTGTAATCATATTTATCCGACCAGTCGGGCAGTTGCAGCCCCAGTTGTACGAGGGATGCAGATCAAACCTATTGACCTATTGTATTGCTGGGATGAAATCGTTCTACTTCTATGTTCAAGTTCAGCTATATAAGTTAACAATCCCGGTTGACATGTGTTTTTGTATTCAACAGGGTGATACCACCAAGCGGTTCACAAAAATGGCAGATTTGTTCGAATTTCCATGGCCACCAGGACGACGCTCCCGACGATTCGTCGGGTGGTGAACTATTGGGTTGCAGCGGTTTGGGCACGTGGAACGCCCCAGCACTTCTGAAGGATGGCTGCTTGATGGATCCAGGTACCAAGAGCCAAACTGGGGAGATGGGCCCCATAAAACATGGCAAAGATTGATACTGATAGTGTGAAACATCTTGTGAACATGTTGACATGTAATTACTCATATTACATATGTGTCCATTGTATATATATGTAATTCTATGTATATGTATATGTGTATGTATACATATATATACAGTACATACATATGTATACTGTATATGTACATATATATATATATACATACATAAATATTCATGGGGTTGAACATGATTGATGGAAACATGAAGATTTCACAAACAACACAGAGGATTTATATGACCGTTAGATATATTTATTTAAACCAACTGGTGAAGGGCAGTTCAATGTTTGATTGGTAGGTGGTACCGGGCCATGAGATAGTGACATACTGGGCTACACAGTAGAACTACTGGACATGAATGCGACCTGGGATATTACCAAAAGTGTAATCTGGCGGTGCGTCGATAACATAAGTGATACCTACAAAAAGCATTTGAAAACAAGAAGCGATACTTTTTTTCATCATTTACATATGTTTTCCATTTACATACGTTCCATAAACGGTTACTTTTCATGGAACATATGCCGGTCGGCAGTCGCCTGGGAGAGCGGAGGCTACCCCCGTCACGGAGTTTTGGTTTAGGTGAAATCTAGCAGCTGAAGGTTCAAACTGCTTCGGAATAGAAAATGGACAGGAGAGCCCTGAATCTTCTGGTCCAAAACATTCCAAAACCATGCTTTAACCATGTAAGTTGTAGTTGTTTTGTCAAACCCACCTCTGTGAAACCATCAGAAGGGCCATTTCGATGCAGGTGAGAGCACCACGACCTTCCAAAATGTTCCGTCGGACATTCGCGGCAAGACCTTCTTCAGCCTTAAGAGCTCAACAGCAGAGTCGGGCATGTGGACCATTGAGTACCTCCCACCCACTAAGATCTATGTATCTTGGACCCTTGTTCGAAGATGTTGGATAGCAGGGAAAACCACCTGGAACCTGGAACCTGGTGTTGGGCGTGTTGGGGAATCGGAATATGACTGGAGCTGCAGAGTCTGACTTTGACTTTAGTTCTGGCGATCGGGAGCAGTTACAAGTCAGTGAGACATGCGACAAGCAACAGGTCCATGTTGAGGCTAGCCACTGGTAAGAAACCATAAGAAACCACTTCACTTCTGTTTGTTTTAGAGTTGTATATTGTTTTCTTTGTTATCCCATCCTACTCACGATGATCCTCAAACAAGTCACCCATAGACGGCATCTATGACGGCATCTTTGTTGGCCTATGGCTGCTATGAGTTTGTAGAGCTTCAGCCAGTCCCTGCGCCATAGGTATGGCTGATGAAGGGCAAGACCGGGATGTTGCCGTTGGATGAGATGTTACCCAAGCGTGGATGGGACCAGGAGCCTGCAGATGGCTTTCAAAGCAGTGATGGAAAGGAATCTTAAGCTGAGAAGATGGGCCGGGGTTGCTGATTTGGGCTGGAAAAAGATAATACATGTATATATATATATATATATAGTTATATATATATTATAATATATATATATATATACTATAATATATATATATTATAATATATATATTCATCATGTCAGGAGCAGAACTCCAGAACTCGAGAACTCCAGACTTCTTTGGAGTGCGGTCAAGATACTTCCCAAGTGCAGGAGGGTCCTAGGTCATAAGAGATCATGTACAGCTTTCTTTGCATGTTATGTGCATATCTGAAATTATCACGGATTGTTTATGATTATTTCTTCATGTTGTTTGGCCTCTTTTTGAACTATTTGCATCGTTTGTTGCGCTTTGGGCGCCAGCCCCTGCATGTCCTCCAATGGAGGTGCCGCCTGTCATGAGGAACTCCTACTCTTCAGCAAGTGGTTTTCGGAGGATGAGAAGTACTACATGCTGCACACCAGTGACCCCATTGTAGGGGGTGTACTTGGCACTTATCCTTTGCCAAAGGCACCAAAACCAGAGACCCATCGCAGCAACAGCTGGGTGACCAAGTGCAGTGGCCTGGGAGTTGAGTGGAACGAGCCACAGAAGATGGCCGAAGGACTCCAAACCAATCCAGGTGTGGATTCGAGCTGTTCCCTCGAAATAGCAACACTTAGATTAGCTTAGATGCATGTTTCATGTTTGAACTCCAAAACACCTAAGCAACACTAAGCAACACTTGCATCCAAAGACAGCCCTTGTGATTCGTCTTGGAGGCGAGCAAGAGACCTTCAAGAACGTGCCGGAACTCCTGCTAAATGGCTCATACATTGGCAGCAAGTCCTGTCCCAAGGCAGGAGAGTGGCAAATTGAGTATCAGGCTCCCTGCAAACTGTAGCTGGTCGCTGGGAAAACATATTTTTATGTTTGATTTCGTTCGGTGTCACGCCCAGAAATATGACTCGATCTCCTTTCTGGGATCAATACTAATCAATAGCCAACAGGAAGCAGATGCTAAATTTCACCATTGGCTGGTTGAATTGACTGTTTTGAATGATATTTTCGACTGAAATTCTCATCCCCAATATGAGATTATGACTAACTCAACATGTTTCAGATGTATGGCTCAACCAGTTCGTGTTGAGGTACGTGTGGGCAACCGCCAATACCGGCATGGATGAGCTGAACGCTGGATGGGCCGTGGAGAAGGCCGAGGGCTTCCAGCGCAGCGATGGCCAAGGGCTGAAGCTTTGGAGCAAACACTTCGCCAAAGGACCCGTGTTTTGATCGACGGGTAGTGGACAAGCATGTTAAGAAATGGCCCCCCAGCTATAAGTTTGTTGGCTTAGAACTTTGCAACCATATCATAATTATTATATGAGTATGGTTATATGTAGAGTAAGCCATAGTAAACCATGTTTAACTTGATTATTCCAATTACCTTGTATATATATATATGTGTGTACAGTGAGATATAATAATATTACATGTAGATGATTGTATATATAATTATAATATTATTATTATATATATATGTACATATATATACATATATATATATACATACATACATATATATATATATATATACATGTATACATATATATTTATATATACATATACATATGTATATACATATATATATACATATATATATATTATATTATATGTGTTTTTTTTAATGTTTGTTCCATTGAATGGTGTTTGCCGCACGACCAAGCGTCGCATCATGGGCAATAAACAGCAATTGTATTATTCAACACATATGGTGACAAGACAGCAAACATAATGATATATATATATATATGTACATATAATGGACCTTTTGTAACACCGCATGTCAATGTATCATACTGTATCTATATAATTACACATATGTACGTGCTCACATGTGAATCAGATACATTTGTTGAACAGTTTGAGACATCCCTCCACGGACAGGAGCCCAGAAAAACGAGGAATCAATGGTTGCCTATCAATAGGTTTGCGGTTATCGTAGGACTATGGTGCCTTGGAGTATGTCACCTTCCTATTTGCTGATAGGATAATCTACAACATTGAGAATGACTTATAGCTCAAAGAGGGTATAAATCTACCATGTCTAAAGCTTAGGACTCGACCGTTTCATTTCTCTTTACCCTCTTGATTTCATGGGTGACTGTTGGATACCTGGGAAGTCGAAGTGTTTGGGCCATACGATCGCTGTAGATTTGTATGGTTAAATCCCAATTTTGGATGCTTCAGTGATTCGTGACCTTCGGTGGCTTAAATCACCGAATTTGGTAATGAGATGTAATGAGACTATTCTCACCATTCGACCATAGCTGCTATAGCTTTTTGGTGCAGGATCTTCCTACTGCATCAAGCTGTCTGGCGATGGCATGGCGGGAGTGGTTGGGACACAGCTGGGAGTTGGAGGGAAAGTCACCAAGTGCTCCGGGCTGGAGATCGACTGGAACGCTCCGCAGACCATCACTGAAGGCACCCTCACCAATCCAGGACGCACCAGGAAGTAAGGGGGGGTTGAATGGCCATTTGTTGCTGAAAAAGGCGTATGTAAAACATGTATAAAACATGTTATAATAGTACGTATATACCCACGTGTAACTCATATCTGGTGTATCACATGATATCACATGATATCACATGATATCACATATCAGCATCTTTGCCAGTACAACCGTTCAACGGTTCAACGGTTCAACGGTTCAACCCCCAATTTAGTTGAACATTCCACCGAAACGTCGCCATGTCGTGCCAGGAGATCGTGATTATGTCTTCGAGAACGTCCCGGCGATCCTGGCGGGAGGTCTTTACATCGGCAGCCGCACGTGGCCCAAGGCCGGAGTTTGGACCATTGAGTATGAAGCCCCTGCCATGCTCTACGTGACTTGGCTGTTGCCCCAAAAAAGTGGAGAAAAAAAACAGAAAATTTCAATGCAACTCAGTTCTCTGCGACTTTTCAGCGCACTTTTGAGCATACCGTGCATACCTCAAGTTCCTTCACCTTAAATGAAGTACTTCCATTCTTCAGATGACATGGGGCTGCAATTTATCCTGGGTGACGACCATCTGAACTGCCGACTGGATCCACAGGTGAAAATGGGTGGAGGGTTATTCCAGCTAACTATCCTCTGGTAATTTACTGGTTGGTGGTTTGGAATGGTTTGAAACATGGCTTTTATGACTTTCCATTCATGTTGGGAATGGAATAATCATCCCAACTGACGAACTCATATGTTTATACATTTTTCAGAGGGATTGAAACCACCAACCAATTTAACATAGCTATTGGAAATGGCACATTTATAGATGACTCACCTATCAACATTGGTGATTTTCCATACTTGTTAGATTACCAGAAGGCACGGTTTTTGGGTGAATTATATCCACAAGGGGGGATATTAAATCTCAAGAACCTCCACTTGCGGAGCGTTTTTCACTTTTTCAAGTAAACTTGGGGATGGTTCATGATTGAGTTTGCCACATCAAACTTATTCAAGCTTGCTCTTTGTTAATTACCATAATCATAAAACCATTCCGCAGCAGCACGAGATGGATTCTACGGGAGCACCTTCTATCCAACACCTCTATCAGCAAAGGTTGTGGTTGACCACCTAGCTTGCAATGAGCCGATGTCAACTTGCAAGTTGTTCCCCCTCAACACCTCTGGTTGCAGGGGGTATTGGTGCATATATGTGTATATCATATGATGGGTTCTTGACATGTGGGACCTCAAAATCCTCCTAAGTTGTTTGTTTTAGTCGACCATTGGCTTAGGGTATGTCACCATCTCCATTGCCCCATGTTTTGCCCCATGTTTTGTCGATCTGGGATGAATCCAGGTGAGGGTGAATCCCCACCAAAATGGGTGTTCACCAGGGGAGGTTTCTGACTCCCCAGATCTGGATCGAAACCTACAAGTACGACGCTGGTGTCAGCGAGTTTCTCCAGAAAGACGGTTGGACATGCGAAGAAGCGGAGAACTTCCAACGGAGACAAGAGAAAGGTGTCAACCCACTGGCTTTGCGGCTTGGAAATCTGATGCCACGAAAACATGGAGCCCATGGGGAATCAATATGAATTCATCCCATCCCATCTCATTCCCTTAATTTGAAATACCTCCGAAACGAAACCTTGGCTTTGAAATGAGTCTATTCATATTTTGGGACCATATTTGTGGGTATCTAATATAGAATGGGGGAAGGGATTAGTCACCAACCATGTTGTGGGGATATGGGATACAATGCGGAATCAATGCGGTAATATGGGCACATCTATGATACGGCTTTAAATATTTGACAATTGTGGGGTATGCACATTTCTGGTCATTGAATGCGGAACATGATGATAAAACTACTGGATTTAGGGTACCCCATGGACAGAGACAAGCCGATATGGCAAACATACGTGGAACGATTGTCAGTATGACTGGGGATGCCAACAGCAACCGGGTAGAATGACATTATGAGACATCAGCAACAATTGGACGGTCAAATGGTATGACAATGCAGAATTGGGCGCACTACGAAGATGGCAATATGTATCAATATGTATAATGAGCAATGAACGTGATACAGGTCTAAAATAAAAGGTAGTTGCCTCTAAATCCACGTGTGTATCATCATGTTGTCCATCAAGATGCGATTCTTGGCACACTCCCATATAGCCCCACGCCCAGATACGAAATCAGGAGATACTGTGGCCCCCAGGCACTTAAGAAGCAGGACACTTCCCTCGATGGTGGCAAGATTGAATTTTGGGGTGTTTCCCTAAACATATCTAAACATGGTTGTGTCATGTGTCCAATTGTTTATTGTATCTTCTTGTCACATGACAGAATTTGACCCTAGGAGCAGCTCAAACATTCGCTGCAAGGGTGGCAGTTGCTGGCAATACGACCAAACAAAGTTCATGGGATTGGGGCACGATTTGTTTGATCAGAGTGTTTGCTTCCCAAGATGCAAGCTACATAGAATTCGAGAAGGAGGCGATGCTATTGTGAATGTGTTTGTTTTACATCCAGTGTAGCATGAAGGATGCAGAGAAAAAGCGCTACGTGATGATCCAAATTGCGTTTATGTATATATATATATATATATATTTATCTATGTGTTATACATATTATATATACATTGTACATATGTCTAGAGATGGATCAAGACCGGACCATATAGCTGGATGAAGATCCACTTATATACTAGCTATTACTGGCCTTTACCAGGTTTCCTTGTGAACTGACTGACCTGGTGAATTACTGTAATTCAGCCAGTTTTTATAGGAACATACCATTGGTATCATAACATAGAATTCAGCCAGATCTATTTATCAAAGTCTGGTTGGTGGTTTCAACATTTTTTCCATAGTATATGGGATAATCCTTCCCATTGACTTTCATATTTTTCAGAGGGGTAGGTATACCACCAACCAGAAGTATATGTATTCTGAGTCAGATTCTGAGTCAGTTTGGATCATTTTTCAAAATCTGGATTTTCAATCCGCAGATCGGTATAGTCGCACCAAGGTATAGTCGACACTTCGCCACTGGTACCTCCTATAGCATCTTGGTAGCCACGCCCTGTGTTCCTCAAAGCTGGGGCATGGGGCAGCCATGGGCAACCAACAGGCCATCGTCCAGGTGCCAACAATGACCACTTCTATTTTTCCTTCGCAGTAAGCAGCGCCATTCAAGCGGTTTTTTCCTGGTTGGTTGATATTTACAAGGCTGTTACACTGCAAATATATATATATACATATTAGGGATCATCATTATCCATGAAGTGGAATCCCGTTCTTAACCAACCAGTATAACATTGAACACTGCTCAAATGCTGATATAAAGGGGATGATATAGTGATCATACAGGAAGCCATGATAAACCAACAGACATAGTGATACATGGGAATAATAATGTGTATATATATATAATATACCTGACAATAGGAATATCATGTAATATATATATATATATATGGATATAAGGGATATCAACCATCTGAGTAGACATAGGTGGCTTCACCTCTTGAGCCGCACCGGAAAATGGCACAGGCATCACCACCAATGACCTCATGGTGGGCGGTGTGATTTCTGAATGCTCGGAGGTCTGAGTTGACGAGATCTGACGCGTGGCCCAAAGGCGGCCCAATGTTGTTTACAATGTTTGAATGCCTTGATGAGGATCATTCATGAATGTTTCCTTTGCTGTGCAAATTAGTGGTTCCTTTGAATTGAACTGCCAAAATCGACAGTTCTCTTTTCATCCTGGCAAATTGCTGAGATGCTAGCTTCAACAACACCGATGACGCGTTACTGCGGGCAAAGGACCCGAAAGATCCAGAAGACAAACATGTATGACATGTGGGCATGGACGCATGCAACATATTCCACATTGGCAATTGTGATGTGCAGCATGCTTCCAAACCTGTGACTTTACCGGGGTTCAAGTCATAGGGCTATGAACCCTCAAAATTACGGAACAATTTGCCAAGACATGCCAAGACATTATACCCGTCTGGCTTCGTCTGAAAATAGGGTATGCCTCAAAATCCAGTGGTTTATCAGCAACCTGATAATCATATGCCACATGTCAATTGCCACGCACGGTGATGTAAAACCCATTTTAAGACAAACCTATGTGGGGGCTATCTTAAAGTGGGAACCCCAAATTGATCGATCATATTGTTTTCCCTGAAAAGGGAAATCAATGGTTTTGGAACCCCAGTTTGAAGTTCCCACCATATGTGGGTCGATTTTTTTGAGGAAAAGGCAACAAATCCCGATGGCGAGTCATATTCAACCATCATTTCCACCATTAAGAAATATTTTAAGATGTTCATATAGCCATAACTGCCATAACTTGGGTGTATATGCCATATTCAGTTCCCACTTCTTCCGAGAGCAACATGCGTCACGCCAGGGGATTCACCCAGCAGAGCTTTTGCGGAGATAAGCTACAAAGGCCACCCGTATGTTACCCGATTGGAACTCCAACCAACGGACATGGTGATATGGACATATGGTGGCCACTGAATACATTGCTTCTTATCTGTGTCCTTGTGGTTGCGGTTGCGGTTCCTGCTGCTGCTGCTGTTACTGCTACTGCTGCTTGTGATGTTGCTGTTGCTGCTGATGATGTTGCTGTTGCTGTTGCTTTTGGTGGTGGTGTTGTTCTTGTTCTTGTTCTTGTTCTTGTTCTTGTTCTTTTTCTTGTTGTTGTTGTTGTTGCTGTTGCTGTTGCTGTTGCTGTTGTTGTTGGTGGTGGTGGTGTTGTTGTTGTTGTTGTTGTTGTTGTTGTTGTTGTTGTTGTTGTTGTGTTTGTTGTTTGTTGTTTGCTGTTTGTTGTTTGTTGTTTGTTGTTTGTTGCTTGTTGTTTTTTGTTTGTTGCTTGTTGTTTGTTGTTTGTTGTTTGTTGTTTGTTGTGTGTTGTGTGTTGTGTGTTGTGTGTTGTGTGTGTTGTGTGTGTTGTTTGTGTTGTGTGTGTTGTGTGTGTTGTTTGTTGTTTGTTGTTTGTTGTTTGTTGTTTGTTGTGTGTTGTGTGTTGTGTGTTGTTTGTTGTTTGTTGTTTGTTGTTTGATGTTTGATGTTTGTTGTTTGTTGTTTGTTGTTTGTTGTTTGTTGTTTGTTGTTTGTTGTTTGTTGTTTGTTGTTTGTTGTTTGTTGTGTGTTGTGTGTTGTTTGTTGTTTGTTTGTTTGTTTGTTTGTTTGGTTGTTGTTGTTGTTGTTGTTGTTGTTGTTGTTGTTTGTTGTTGTGTTTTGTTTGTTGTTGTTTGTTGTTGTTTGTTGTTGTTTGTTGTTTCATGAACTCCTAGACTACCCTCCTCAGTACTACCCTAAGAGAATTTTAGATAGTAAATAAGAAAACGGGTTTGTATCCCCTGAATTTTTTAAGAAATAATTAGTAGCCTAATAAGGAAAATGGGGGGGATACAAACCAAAACTAATCAGTATCCTAATAAGAATTTATTTTGGCATTTTGTATAAAACTTATTAGCATGCTAATAAGGAAAAAATCAATATTAGCATGCTAATTTGTTTTATACAACTTTTCTTGTATAAAATCTTATTAGGGGCCTAATAAGGATTTTTTGCCATAATAGATGCCTAATAAGATTTTATACAAAATTGACGGGGTATGATTTTTGTATAAAATCTTATTACGGGCCTAATAAGGATTTTTTGCCTTAATAGATGCCTAATAAGATTTTAGACAAAATTGACGGGGTATGATTTTTGCAGAAAATCTTATTAGGGTCCTAACAAGGATTTTTTGCCTTAATAGATGCCTAATAAGATTTTATACCAAATTGACGGGGTATGATTTTTGTATAAAATCTTATTAGGGTCCTAATAAGATTTTATACAACATTGTGGATATCAACTTTTTGATTAATCCTTATTAGACACCTAACAATTTATTGAGTTTACCACAGAGAAAACACAGGGAGCCGGCTCAATCTAAATAACGAGTTGGCTGAGATGACAAGTTGATGAATCGTGTGGCCTTGCTGACGTCTTAGCCACTAGACTACAGATCCATGATTGCTGGGGCCACACCGGGCCACCCTGACTGAGGCAGAACCAGCAGATCTTCACATACCAATTGCATCCTTAATAGGTTTCGAATAAGGCTTTAAATTCCATACGAAGATCCCCAGATCCCATGATCCTTAATAGGCTACTAATAAGGAGCTCATTCCCACCCTTGCCCATCTCATCCCTACCTCGTCCCTCCTTGTCCCACCCCCACCCTCACCCTTCTCATCCCCCTCCTCGCCCGTGGTATGCAATGCAGGAATTCTCTCACCCTCACCCCCAATACCCTTCCCCCCAATCTCTCACAAACTCTATAATCCTTATGAATAGAATGCTAATAAAGGAAATCATGATCACTCTCTGATGTCACTCTCTCCCATTTAATTAGCACAAGACCACAGAGGTCTTGAACGCATATCAGAACCCTTGGAAGCTCCAGTGAGGCAGCTCCAGCACCACAGAGTTTGTTCCAGCTTTGCTGCCCATCGCAGCCTGACCCTGCCTCTGACCGAACGCTGGAAGATTTTTTCTGCCCTCAATTCCCATTCTGGAGATGGATTCCTGATTACTGTTAACCTGGGTATTTTGCATCCTACAACTGAATGACCTTTCAGCGAACGATCTTTCAGCTGTATGATGCAAATCTCTGCTGCGCTCCATTTCACGGCGTCATGGTCGAGAAGGAAGTGCCCACACACTTCACGTCTACTTCATAGTGAGTTACAACTGTCTCTCACTATGAAGTAGAAGAGAAAGATTGTTGGATAGTGTTGGGAGGCAATGAGCCCCACAAAGCATAGCAGTGCCTAGCATGTTTTCCATCCCGTTTCACAGATGCTGGGCATTTTCCTTTCTCTTGGCAGAGTGGCTTCACACAGTACATGATTCAGTGTTTTTTTCCTCCTCAGGACATCAAGGGCTCCTTTGTAGGGCATGAACACTGATTTTTCTTGATTTTGCCAAGCTGTGCTAATCATTTACATGTGGGCGCCACAAAGAATTATGCAACGAATACCGTTGTGACGTGTGTGACATTAAGCAAAATGGAAGCAGAGACAACCAAATTGCCTGTGTGTACAATCTCTGAGTAGCCTGTAATATGGAATCCACAATTGCTCCTTATTAGAGGCCAATTAGGTTTTTGCACTTGTTTTGTATCCCATGATGTAGTATTTGGATACAAAAACTTAATAGTGCCCTAATAAGGATTGGAAGGGATAACAATTTACCTTATTAGGTGTCTATTATTTTTTTGTATCTTCCAGGGCCGGGCTTGGATACAAAAACTTATTAGTATCCTAATAAGGACGGAAATTGCCTTAATAGCATACTATTAAGTTTTTGTATGATTTGGGGATACAAATCCTTGTTAGGATACTAATAAGAAAAAAGGCACTTTTCTTAATGTAGACCGGATTAGTATACTAATAAGGAATTGGATACAAAATCACACGTAATGGATTTTAGGCCTTAATTACTATCTAATTTTAAGCTACTATTAGCATATTATTAGTATGCTAATAGGATACATTTAAGGGTTGTATCCCAGAATGAGATTTTTCCTCATTAGCACACTAATAATATCTTACTAGTATACTATTAAGGAATTCACAAATGGTCAAATCCTTAATATTTTTGTAGGGTAGTACGGGGGGGGGGGTAGTGTAGAAGTTAATGATTGGTGTTTGTTGTTATTTGTTGTTGTTTGTTGTTATTTGTTGTTGTTTGTTGTTGTTTGTTGTTGTGTGTTGTTGTGTGTTGTTGTTTGTTGTTGTTTGTTGTTGTTTGTTGTTGTTTGTTGTTGTGTGTTGTTGTGTGTTGTTGTTTGTTGTTGTTTGTTGTTGTTTGTTGTTGTGTGTTGTTGTGTGTTGTTGTGTGTTGTTGTGTGTTGTTGTTTGTTGTTGTTTGTTGTTGTTTGTTGTTGTGTGCTGTTGTTTGTTGTTGTTTGTTGTTGTTTGTTGTTGTTTGTTGCTGTTTGTTGTTGTTTGTTGTGTTGTTGTTGTTGTTGTTGTTTGTTGTTTGTTGTTCTTTGTTGTTCTTTGTTGTTCTTTGTTGTTCTCTGTTGTTCTTTGTTGTTCTTTGTTGCTCGTTGTTGTTCTTTGTTGTTCTTTGTTGCTCTTTGTTGTTCTTTGTTGCTCTTTGTTGTTCTTTGTTGTTTGTTGTTTGTTGTTTGTTGTTTGTTGTTTGTTGTTTTTTGTTTGTTGTTTGGTGTTTGTTGTTTGTTGTTTGTTGTTTGTTGTTTGTTGTTTGTTGTTTGTTGTTTGTTGTTTGTTGTTTGTTGTTTGTTGTTGTTGTTGTTGTTGTTGGTTTTGGTTGTTGGTTTTGGTTGTTGTTGTTGTTGTTGCTGTTGTTGTTGTTGCTGCTGTTAAGGCGTGCAGCTGGAGATTCATTCCTCATTTTTTGCAATTAACAGAACTGCACGAAAGGCTGAGGCCGCTTTGTATCTTGGTATATGTTTGTTGAAGGAGACACATTTTGGGTTTGCAAGTTCTCACCTTTTGGACAGAACCATTTCGATGTTTGTTTTGTCGGATGATGGTTCATTTTTCATTGCATTTTACAAACGGAGTTGTGAGCGTCCAGAATTTGAATATAAGTATTGCCAAATTGTTGTTTGCTCTGCGGACGTGTTTATCGGAATCAGACACGTACTACATTTACATGTTCCACTTTGTAAATATATATATATATACATTTACCAGCATTTTCCCGAAAAAATGGCTGAACGTAGGTAAATATGTTAACATACATGGAACATGTGGGCATGTACATATAGTAACTCAAGTAGTTGCTAACGCCATGGACCGGGGATTGCGCGTTTTGTGTGACTTTGTGGAACTGGGATGGGGTGGGGTGGGGTGGGGGGCAATATCGTTCTTGTCTCTATGCCCTTAATGCTACGCTCTTAAAAACTCGTTCAAGTAACTTGTAACAAGCTCTTGTTGCTAAGCTGTTAACTTATTCAAGCAACTTGCAACACGCTCTCGGTGCTACGCTCTCAACTTGTTCAAGCAACTTGTAACACTAGTTAGGGTTTTATCTTTTGCCGGGGTGGCTGCAAAAATAGGTCAAGGTTCAAAAAGTCCAGTGGACCAGATAGGACTACATTTGGCAGGAGCCTTCCATCATGCAGAGAAACGAGAAGGCAGATATCAGGCCGGCCGCGAATGCAGGGACTTAAGCATCAAGAATAGGGGATTCAATTAAGAAGTATTCGGATATCATGATGGAAACAGTGGGGTATTTAGGTTTAGCCGTCTAGCCTGTTTTCAGAGCCATGCTAGTGATGTCCTTTGATCATGGCTTGGTGTCCCAAGATGGTTGTGCTAAATGAGGGATACTGTTCCAAGGAATGGCAGTGTTAATGCAATATGTTATGACTGATTTAAGATGGACTGAGGTACCCTTACTGCGAACAGACATAGAGATGAACGGTCACTATTTGGGCAAAGTTGAGCAGTTTTGCCATCAGCTTGCCCGAAATCACGAATAATAACATGGATGTATACAGAGTTTCAAAACAACAATTGCCAATGATTCCATTTTATCGAAAGCCCAACACGATCCACAACTTGGATTCGCTGAAAAAAAACCCTTGGTACTCTGCAAGGTGCCGGAGTCAGGACGCTTGAGCTTCACATTTTCATGTGACTGGCGCTTCAATGATGACTTCTGGAACTTTGGCCGTGCAATTCATCTGATGCTTGGCATGGGAAGAAACACCTGCGGTGGTTGATGGCAGTTCATGTTTTGCACCTAGTAACCTGCCATCATGTGGGGGTCGCAATAAACATGATCCTGAATAGGGGTATACTGTATACTCAACAAATCTCAACAATACGTCAGAATTGGACATGTTTACCGTGTTTACGCCCATTCTTGGATTACATGGTCGACCGTGACTTGATGTTGGTTTCATGGTCGCGGCTCCGAGGAATTGGACATCACATCGCTTTTCTCCCAGCATCCACAAGACGGCGGAGCTGCTACACCAGTGGCACATGGCTGATGACGACACTGAGACGCAGAATGCCATCCTGGAGGCAATGGAGCTGGGATGTTGGGAGCCACTCCATTTAAAGAAGGTGCCTTTGAAGGTGACTATGCTGATGATGAGTAGATGTATTTTCACATTGTGACATCATCTTGGAAAAGTCACCCGAACTGACTGGTGCGCAACTACTATCCAGCATTGAAATTCGGAGTCTATTTAGGCTTGTTGAGGCAGCCTACGATACGATGGCTCCAACGGTATGCACTTTTGCCAATGGACACCTACAGAAGGGAAGGGGTTTCACACAGAAAAGGCCTCAAGAGTGAAATGTGCACTTCTGCGACCCTAAGTTGTGACCTACTTCTCTCAACTATTTGTAGGCATCTTCAGAGATACTATATTACTATACCATCCTCACAATTTTAGATTTATTTCCATGGATTTTCCAAAGATTTCCATGGATTTTCCTCCAGGTCCTGAGCAAAGACTTCGTGGTGTCGTCGGCCTTGCTGCAGCAGATGTGCGCCAAAGAGCCCGAGCTGCTGCACACGGTGCTGAGCTTCGGCCGCGGCTATGCACATCATAATGCATTATATATATATATATACATAATATATATTAAATGTATATTATATAGTTTAATATGACATATTTTTTTATATATCTCAAAAGTTGTTATATGTTGTTATATTTTCTTGTTTTATATATGTTACTGATTGTGATTTAGTATATTATATTACATCATGTTTAAACAATATTGTATATATATGGTATACCATTTTGTTTTATGTTTTATATATATATATTTATATATGTTTAATATGTTATGTTATGTTTGCCTTAATTAGTTTGTTTTATCATATTATGCTATATAAGTATGTGTTTATATATATATAGTATAGTGTTTAAATACATGTTTGATTATACATATATATATATATATTCTATGAACTATATCTATCTTATATTTTAAAGTTTTTCCCACATATTGAAGTGTTAGATGTTCTTGATGGACATTAGTAGACTTGGAAGATACTTGACTATTTATCTTATATTTTAAAGTGTTTCCCACAGATTGAAGTGTTAGATGTGCTTGATGGACATTAGTAGACTTGGAAGATACTGGCATGATATTGACACGTATTGACACACACACATGCATATATATATATACACACATACACATTATTACACATTCATCAGGTTCACAATGGAAGATTTAACGGGGATGGTTGGGGGGTGTCCTAGAAATAAACGGGTGAACCCCACACCAACAAATCGTGGGAAAGTGATACGAAAAACACTAGATGGAAGGGGTATACTATTTTCAGACAAAGCCAATAAACCAGTTGTTGTCGTTATTCGACAGTTGGGTCACTATGGCAACACATGTGTTTTTACTATAAAACTTACTATCTTTGTCACCAGTCCGACTGTCATCATCAGAATAGCGAAGGAATATTGCTTGTCGACATCGCCGTTTTCATCCTCCACATGTTCACGATATCCTCTTGGTAAATACATGACATATCATGCATTGTTGATGCAGAAGAGAGAGAGAGAGATAGAGAGAGAGACAGAGAGACAGATAGTCAGTCTTCTTGCTTTCCCTAGACACAATAATCATCAAGGAAAAGCAATAACATTGTTGTTTTTTCCATGAATTTATTAGTTTCATTTTTTCCAGTTTTCCATGTTTTGTTCACTTTTTTTCTTAGATATTTTCCATATTTCTCCACCCTTCCCAAATTGCTTCCCCACACCCAGTCCCAAGGAACAAACTGCTCCACTGTGTCAGTGGCGGCAGACCGTCACAGTACTTGGCTATGCAGAGCCTTGCCGGCCAAAACGGAGATCACTGCGACCTAATGGATCCTGATGACAACATCATTTTAAAGGCGTCATCCCATCCCCCTAATATTTTACACGGCCTAAATGGTCCAAAATATGTGGATTTTCACTATTTTTCACTACTAAACCATGGTCCAACGGTTTCTGGGGGGTGTTTAATTGTTTGGGGATGGGATTAACAATGTCGTTTCTGCTACCCATTGAACTCCTGAAATCCACACGGTACACATATTTGAGGGCTACAATGACCAACCCGTCTTCCTCTTGGATTTAAACTTGCTTTACCATTGTTGACCAATTGTAAGAATTGTGAGTTTGGTGTGGCATTTCCAAGCAGCATACACCCTTGATGCAATGAACATGATGGACCAATGAAACCAATGAAATTCAGCAATCAATCAAGACTCCCTAGAATCAGAGGTGCTTGTCATTTCTTCTTATTGGACTGATTGGACCCTGCTTGTTTGGGTGCTCAACTTGCCCCGCGCACACATTCAAATAGCATCCTTTTGGTTCTAGATCCACGGCTACAAGCTTGGACCAAAGCAGAATCCATGTTTTCTCCATGGAGAAATACCATGTTGTTTGCTCTCTCAACACCTTGTTATGTGACCCCAAAAAAGGATGCCAAAAGGTGTTTTGGCATGATGTTCTAGATTGTGTGTTACCCATTTTTTCCAGGTTTTCAACTTGTGTGATGTATTTTTTTTTGTGGTTGCTTGACATATCCATGAATATTATTGTTGATCCCATGTTTGCTCTGAAAAAAAAGGTTATGACATGTTATGAACCAGTCGTAGATGAAACCCCGCTGGAGGATGGCTCCTTCAGTGAAGTCTTTCCTCCGTGTATTAGACTCGGTAAAGAAGCTGCTCCTTGGATCGCCAGCACAGAGGGAATTGACGTTTGTGAAAAACAGCTCCAATATTCATCATTAGATGGGGTTATACCATGTTATACCATCCAAATCTATCCTCAATTTTCTTTGAAATCATTGTATTCCATTCTGCGAATCCCTGGCCCTATCAACCAGTATAACGTTTGATCAAACATGTTTGGTGATTTCACCCAAGAATTCCAGTGATTGATACGGGTTTGTTTGAACATGGGGTATACCTACAAACACCACCCAAATTGCACTTTAAATAAGGCAAGTATGATGAAAACAGTCCAAGTTGCAGAGAACCCCATTTCACCGAAGTAAGCCATGATCAAAACGATTCACAGATCTCGAAAGGTAGCGGTGAGCTACCTGAGTTCCCCCTTGCGTAGCAAGTACTAGGGGGCGAGCGGTGCAAGTGCAAGAGTTTGGGCCGGTTATGTCTTCGTCCGCCTTTCAAGGGGGGTGGGGGCCCCCCCCCCTTCGATTCCCCCCAGGTCCGCCTCTAAAGCTGCGTTTGCAACATAGGCGGACAACAAGGAACGCCAACAGCCGCACATGCCCTTTCATCCACCACGGCGACATACATCCCCGCCCCCAACCGAAGTCAAGACCCGCACTGAAACTCGATAATGTCAAATTGCTCAAGAACTTCGTTGCGTTCACCCTAACAACCGCGACGAAAAATGTCGGAGCAAGAACGTTGCGACGGACTGCGTTGCAGTAGTCGCAAAAATCCTACCTGATATACAATACAGTTAAAGATGTATACATAGACATATATATACACATATAATTTCATGACATATTATCTATACATATACACTACACATACATAGATTTATTTTATATATATATATCTCTCTCTGCCTACTCTACCCAGCAATTGTGGGATATTGCACTTTGGTCTCGAAAGGTAGCGGTGAGCTACCTGAGTTCCCCTTTGGGTAGCAAGTACTAGGGGGCGAGCGGTGCAAGTGCAAGAGTTTGGGCCGGTTATGTCTTCGTCCGCCTTTCAAGGGGGGGGGTTCCCCCCAGGTCCGCCTCTATAACCTTCTACGAAACCATCATAGAGACCTGAGTTCCCCCTTGCGTAGCAAGTACTAGGGGGCGAGCGGTGCAAGTGCAAGAGTTTGGGCCGGTTATGTCTTCGTCCGCCTTTCAAGGGGGGGGGGGGGCCCCCTGTTTTTGTTTCGACCTAATACCTACATAGGTACATGCATGAGTATTGAGCACATTTATATGCGCCCCTCAAGGCTCAAGAAAGAGGTATATAGAGTAACCCTGTAGACAAGCACTGACCGGCAACAGGCTGAGAGTAAAACAAGTGCTGTCATTGGGGAAGACGCCTTAGCTGATCTTGAAGTAGACGCTAGGGCCCCTCTTCAAGTGGTAGCGGAGCTGTGATCCCTCATTGAGGGTGAGCTCCAGGTAGAGCCCAAGAAATGGCAAGCCATGGCTATGATGATGATGACTTCGACATTGTCGATGCAAATGAATGGAACCAATATGACTCTTATGCAATGAGAAGAGCACCCCAGCATACACAGATTCATATGACGCAACAGATGACCACAAAGGTTGCTCCAGCCTATGATGGGCGAACCAGCTTCTTTGCTTTTGAGGATGCAATTGATGACTGGTGTGACATTACGGAGTTAGAACCAGAGAAACGTGGTCCAGCATTGCGCAACAGACTGGAAGGAGATGCTCAACAATACAAGAGGCTATTGGATAGAGAATTACTCAGGGATCCCTATGAAGGAGTGGCTTATTTCAAAAGATTTCTACGACCTCATTTCATCAAAGGTGCCCAGAACGTGTTCTTATACCGTTTCATGCAGTTCATGAAGTTCAACAGAGGAACCATGGATCTTCAGAAGTGGATGACTAGATTTCAACTCACTGGCAATAGACTTATTGAGTCTTGGATGGATTTACTTCCAGAAGTAACAGTGACTAGTCCTGAAGCAATCCTGTTTGTTCAACAACGACGTCAAGAACATGAACGAGATCAACAAGAGAGAGCTGAAGTAGCAGCAGCCTCAGGAACACCCCATGTAGCTGTTCCTTGGACAGATGAACTGGCACTAGCGGCATTCAGACAATTTCAGGAAGATCGTAGACAAGTACAGCGACAAGCATTCCCACTGGGTGAAAATTTGCTAGCATTGATTTTTGTAAGTCTAGCTGACCTGAGTCAAGATCAGAGAAACACACTCACAAGTATCATGACACATCGTGGACGAACCCTCGATCGATACAGTATTCAAGAACTACGTGACCTGTTTTTGGAAATGTTTTGCACTACCAAAACAGCAGTTGACAATCCATTGATGCAACCCTCTGGCATGGCACAGAGAAGATCTTTCCTCGTACTGGATGAAGGTGAATTAGAAGGAACCGACGGCTATTGGGCCGAAGATGAAGAAGACGGCGCAGAAGGATTCCTGGATGCTTTAGAAGATGTTTTCTGGGTTTATGATGACGCCAACTTCACATGGTATCAGAGAAGGTTCCAAGGCAAATACATCAGACGAGGCAAAGGTAAAGGAAAGAGAAAAGGAAAAGGAAAAGGCAGAGGAGGACGAAGGTTCTTCAGATCAAGAAAAGGAAAAGGCCGAGGAAAAGGAAGAAGGAAAGGCCGTGCTCACATGGTGAGTGAAGAAGGTTATGAAGATGAATGGCAAGAAGATGAATGGAATGAAAACTATGACGGCTATTGGGCCGATGATCAAACCTGGAATGAAGGCTATTGGGCCTATGATGATCTGTACTACATGGATGAGTATGGATACTTCCAGAAGAAAGGAAAAGGAAAAGGAAAGAAAGGCAAGAAAGGCAAGGATGATGATGGAAAAGGAGGAAAGCCAGGAGATGGAAAAGGCAAGTCGAACTATGTTCAACCTCAGACCACATCAGCTCCTGCCATACAGAATCAACCAACTCAACAAGCTCATTATTCTTCTGCAGCTTCAAGTTCTGGTCATGGTTTCTTTTCATTTGGAACAACTGAACCAGCACGTGTTGATGTTGCAGAGACAGAGCCAGCACGTGTTGATGTTTTGACATCCACGTATGCAGCACAAGATGAACAACGACGTACTCGTCGTGGAGGACAGAACCAACGTGATGCAAGAGCACATCAAAACAGGAGAGAAATGAAGAGATTCCCTGTTCTGGTTGGAGAAGTTGGTGCACTACGACAAGGTGTACAACAACGTCCAGCTGTAGTGCCCAGGCAAGTTGGTCTTCAAGAAGGTGAGGCTTCATGGAAGCCATTGGCAGAAGGCACATCATTGTTTTCACATGGATGCTCTACAGAGATAGAGGAACCATCACAGCAGAGTGCTTTTTCATTTCATACTGTACAAACTGATCTGGCATGTGAGAATGGACTAGCTTTTCACACAGAGAATTCTGCACCACCAACTGTGTGTATTCTGGATCTTGGATGCACAAGAGCTATGGGCTCTCGACGAGCAGTTGAAGCATTTTGCAGATATGTTGACTCACATCCCAACAGTGGACTCTGGTATGAAATTCAGCCAACAAGTTCAAGATTCTTCTTTGCAAACTCACAACAATCAAAATGTACTGAGAAGCTCGTGATATTCATGTATGATCATGGATGGAACACTCAGTTTACAGAATTCGACATTGTCGAAGAAGGTGATGTCCCATTGTTGATGTCACTTCCACAGATGAGAAACCTTGGATTTCAATTTGAACTTACTCCAGAGAAGGCTTATTTGTCCTGTGCACGTATTGGCATGAGAAAAATGGTTTTGAGGACAGCCATCAGTACTCATCTCATTCTCGACCTACAAGATATAGCATGGTACATGAGCCAAGTTCATTTCAAGACTCCACAAGTCAAAAGTTTCTATTCACAACACGATCACTTTGAGTACAGTCAAATTGCTGTCAAACAAGATGATCATGAAGGAGAAGCTTTGGTGACTGGTGACTATTGGCAGGTTGATCCACTACGTCGTGAACTCATCAGGCACCACAAGGACAAGAGAATGAACTTACATGAGATGACTCGATCAGAGAAAACTCCAATTCCAAAAGATCAACTTCTTGATGAGAGAGAA